TACAAATACATACAGACAATTATTAAAATCATTCGAGAATGAAGAGTTAGATAACAAGTACTTCCATCTGGTAAAATAACTCTGCAAACATTATTAAATAAACATATAAATTTGTTATTTCCGTAGTAATACGTAATTATTTTAGACTTAAATACTGTATATAGTTTACGCGAGTAGTACACATTTAAATAAAACACTTTAACGGTTTAAAACGCGATATATTAGTTAAAGGTATTTGAAAATGATTTTTAACTTCGGCCCGACGTCTCGGATGCTTTGGTCTCCATGTGACCACGGCTGCTGCAAACCGTTATTTAAATATTTTAGACTTCCTTGGATTTTTTATAGTTTTTAGCATCTATTTAGTCATCTGTCCCAGCTTTGAATATTGCCAGTGTCACAAATTCATAACAATCTTTCTTCTAAATAATAAAAATTAATTCCACTTTCTCACGTCTTTCTTCTGTGGACAGTAGTTCGTGACACGGACGGAATATCGATATTCCTACCACCAAATTATTATCCACATTTCCAGACGAAGTTCAACATGTTTTAGTAAACTTATAAATTGAATAGAAATGTTGAACCCGGTAGGGATCGAATCCGTGACCCGTTGATTATTAGCCACACAAAAAGAACCCACTCTGTGCGTAAAATGGCGAACGAACACATTTCTATGTCCTTCCCGTGTATGTAATAGATTTTATATACAGTCAAGTAAGTAGTGGGATTTCTGCATTTTGCGGGACCGGATCAATTAATTGTTTCACCTGTATTCAAACCTAAGACCAACCATAACGTGTATAATACAACGTTAGGCAACACGTTCAACCATTGTGTTATAAATAGTATTTTTGTCGCGAACATAATGGAACAAAATGAAGCGTACGACAAAAGCTGTATTTAGTTATTTTAAATGTTTTGTAAACTTTGTGGACGCGTGACAGTTTTTGCCGCAACATAAAGCTTGTGTTGAAAATACGTTAATAATTTCACATTAGTTTTTTATTGTATCTGAAGTTTATGCGAATGAAAAAACATACACACACTTTTAATAATCACTTCATATAGCTTACATTTTTTTACTGTTTTCATTTGGCATTCATTTATTAAACTAGAAAAGAATACATATAATTACAATAATATAATTAATACAAAAAGTTAAATTACATTTTTTGAAAATATGATGCTAAAAGGGTCTTGGGTCAGCATAATTTGCAGTACAGTTATGATACACTGATTTTCAGCAAAACCCTACTGTTTGTCTGTTAGACAGCGCTTATATAACCATTTGATATTTTAATTAAAAGTGACTTAAGCGGGAAACATTAATAAGTAATGTATCAGTAACTAGTAATAGTAACTGATATAAATTATTAGCGTAAATTGGTAGGTGAAATTCTTGCGGCAATAAGTTCTGATAGTTAAAAAAAATATTAATAAAAATGTTTTATAGTATTATCTGAAGATAAACTATTATAGTTATGAGCTGGAAGTGGAATATTTTTCCTGCATTTTACACAAAGGCTTTATTTTACTTTCTATTCAAGACTAGAATTTACATGAGTGAACTATTTTCAAACACTATTTTTTTTTAAAAGAACCCCATGCTTATCTGTCCTCTTCTATGTTAAAAAAAAAAACTTAATTTTATCGCGTAATTCAAAAACAGCTGTGCGAAATCCAACGAAATAATAGGGTGACCGCGCATCTTTCTTAATGAAGGTTGGGGTATTACACCTTCCATGGAACCCTTTGCTTGTCTGACCGGGTCTGTCATAAAAATTACTGAGTCATCGATATTCTCTATGTATTCCAATCAAAACTGTCTGTTGCTTATACGTTTATGTAAATGCATGCGATGTAATTGAATTTGTTTAGAATTGAGAGACGTGATCAGAAATTATAGGGGCGCAAATTACTATTACATCGCATTGTACAGAATTTAAAAGTACCGTTGCGTCGATATATCAATGTCCTTTATATATAGCTCAAATTAGCTATTCCCCTAAAAATAACTCAAGATATCTAAGTTTAACTTATTTAAAATTTATTTTAACAACGTTTCGTAACAAATGCTTCATAACATCAGGAGAGACTGAAAATCCCCTAATATCAACTGCAACACCAGGGCCATCTGTTCCGTCGTAGCTTTATGACGAAACTGGCCGGGTCGAAACAGCTGTTACATTTCGGGTTTTAAACCGTTAAAAGTGTGCGATAGTACTTTAAATAATTCTTAATTACTACTGAAGTGTCTAGTGAATCAGTGTTAAAACAAAACCAATATACCTAATGGCTACTGATTTATGAGTCAATTTCAAAGGTAATTTTTATTTTTATGTAATTTTAAGGTTTACATTTAAATTCAATTTGCGTGTGTATTACATTTTCCATTAACTGTTTGACATACGATAAAAAAAATACTTTTCCTTTTAGAAACTATATTATAATATTCTACTTAAAACTTACTATTTATTAGTTTGTTTAGGTGACTAATTAAAACAATATTGTTATAACAAACTAAGGGCACCGTATTTAAAAACATTGTAATAATGTGAGTTACTTTAATAGGCTTAGATAAATAAAACCCTTCAGAGCCACATGCAAGAGTGCTCTGTAATCAATTTTAAGCTTCTGTAAACTTTTATTTTTATAATATTTTATGGCGCAGACGCAGACCCAAAAAATTTTTCCGTTAATGCAAATGGATAACCTTATATAATATTTAAATTTTATTTGAATTTCACAAAATTCAATGACACTGGCGGTATTTGAACCCACGACCATTATGTTTCATACTTTCACCTTAGCTCACCTTGAGTGGGGCATGGTACCGCTCGTAAAATCATAACTTGTTGTCATAGATTCGAGTTCTACTCGTGCCATAGATTTTATTCAATCTCAAATACGTTTTAGATTATTCTATAAAAAACATAATCATATTAAAAAAATTGACAGTATTTGATGCTTCCTAGAAAAATCTCATATTATTTACTTATATGAATGTTTATTGCACCACACACAAAAATTTAATAATATTTATTTATTAATAATTGTTCTATAGAAATCTTTAGTTTCTTTTTAACAACAATATTAATGGTTTAAAACGCAAAATATTTAAGTTAAATTTGTTTGATAATTATTTTTAGCTACGGCCTTCGGATGCTTTGCAACAGCCGTGGTCACGGGGAGTCTCCCCGGTTTTGATAAAATATATCGCGTTTTAAACCATTTTAAATAGTATTTAATATAAAGTTATTTAAATTACACTATCCTTCCTAGGAGTATAAACCTGGAAGTTTCACCCTAGCTTAACTGAGCTATGACATAAAGGTAGCTAAGTGTGTTATGTATAATAATTTATTTCCATAAGCCGTGAAACTTAGCTCTTAAGTACATGTCTTTTGGGATCAACAAGTAAGGAGGAAATTTTGCGTCTTGTTAATGAACATTTCTTGTATCAAAGAAACCATTTTTGTATAGAAACATTTAACAAGATGGAAATAGACACGGATATAGACCAAAATATAGGCTTCATAAAATATCTAATTCATTTGCGAGGAATTGTATTCGTATGTATAATACATCGCCAGTTGAGGTTTCAAATTTATCGATAAATAAATTTCAAAAGTTATAAAAATCTAGTTTGTCTCAAAAGGCGTATTGTCTGAACGATTTCTTTAATGGCAAGACCGCCTAGCAGTAATATGAATTGCTTTTTAGGTTAATTCCCAACATATTAGTTTATAAGACATGTTAAAAAAGCCGGACTGCGTTCCTTGAGTGTTCTCAGTATAATCCTCTTTTAACACTCTGTAGAATCACGACGAACACAGAGACAAACAAAACATTTTTGACGAATCTAAATAATTTTTAAAATTTTAAAAGAGAATAAAGTATTTTTAATTTTTTTTTTAGGGCAGACACATATCTGCGTAACTACTTCCCCAATAATAATTCTACAGTTTTAAGTATTTTTTCTAGGTTAAGAGGTAAGGAAAATACGTTTAACGGGTTAAAACTTGCCATTTTTCACAAGGGTTTTTATAAAACTTCGATATTCAAACCGTCTTGGGTTGTAATTTAATATTTGCGTCATTTTGTCAGTATAGATAATCAAGTTAAATTATTAAGATTTTTATTTCAAACGGATACATTTAAAGTGCATAGTTTGAAACCGGGGCCAGAGAGTCTAGAAACTTATATTAAGGAGTATTCTAACTCTAATGCTTTTTGGCAACCGTGACGTATAAATAAACTTGCTGTTTACTAGAAGAACAAAATTCTATAAATAAAGTTTGAACACATACATAGATGCAGTAATTTTAGTCAATAATAAAAAAATCATACCGTAAAATATAACGAACGCTATTTAATATAATTATTTTCAAATACTGTCTGTAGTTTATACTAGTAGTAAACATTCAAAACCGCCTCTGTAGCCAAATGGTTAAACGTATTGCCTAGCATTGCGCTAAGCGCGAGAAGTCCTGGGTTCGAATCCCAAGGAAACATACAATTGTTTTGGTCGGGCAGGACACAGAAATGTGTTCACCCTATGCCCCACGAGGGGGAAACGGGTTTTCACTTTTTCACACATTCAAAATCAATGTAACGGTTTAAAACGCGAAATTTATTAGCTAGCTTATTTTTTATTAGATTAGTTTAGATGTTATGCAGCAGGAGTGTTTTGTATAAATTATTGTTTTTAGTGTTATAAAAAAAATAAAACATTTGCAACGACTAAAAACGTGAAATATATTAAAGAACGATTTTAAAACAATCGACATTTTGCATACTTTCTAATAGCTATCACGAGGCAACAATCAGCAAATCTTAAATAAGCTTTTGTTTAAATACGACTGTTTAATTTAAAAAAAAATATATTAATTCAATACTGTTTTCTTTGCAACGCGGTATCTACGGTGTAGCACAGACGCTACGAAAGTGCTACGAGCATCAAAAAATTAACTAACAAACTAAAAACACAAAAATACCTGTGGGGTTTCCTGTCCTCTTCCGCGTCATCTTTCATAAAAGACGGCTGCAGACTGAACCTTCTTCGGAATTGGTGTCGTCCCTTCATCTTCAGCGATTCACTTAACACATGCTATAACTACGGTGTTTCAAACGCGACGTGTACACACCGTGGCGGTCGGACGCGGAATGCCGCCTGTGCACCTATAGGTGGCGTAAAAATTCGTAAATCCTACAAGGATCGTATCTTCGCACTAATTTAATCCGACGATTAATATTACGGCCTCTACGTGTGTAGGATTTATATAAATGGCTGCCATTATCGTAAATTTTTAAGTCAAGTTATATCAAATAATCATTTAGACGCAAAAATAGTTCTCATATTCATAAGTCATCCCATTACCCTTGTACTTATATAGGGCGAACACACATCTGCGTCTGTTTACTGTGTCTGTGACAAGTAGTCGTATTTTTTATTAGGGCAAGTAGGTCATCAGAATTCTATTGCCTTCCCGGTTGAAATGTATTGTTTGTACATTACGAGAGAAGCACACATTTAAGTAAAACTATTTTAACGGTTAAAAAAAAGATAAATTCGTTTACTTATTATTGGGAGTAGTATTGGTTACGGGGGTTAAACCCCCGTAACCAATACTAGTCCCAAACAACCGAATCGTCAGGACGTAGTAAAAATTAATTTCAAAAAGTGATCCTCGTTTTATTTCAATACATTTATTGTTTCCGCATGATTCAAACCTGGAACCTCTATTGTTTAACGCAATACAACGCAACGCGTTTAACTATTGTGTTTCGCTGTAATACGGAATATATATATATATATATATATATATATATATATATATATATATAGATAACTTCTTAATAATTAAATGAACAATTTACGAAGCTGCGGAGCGCTGATATACGCATATGTTTATACTTTGACGACGGACATCTTTAAGACCGAAGAGAATACCGAGTTATTGATCTTCCAGGCGCTACACATCTTTAAATTTAGAACATAATTTTTGAAATTCTTATTATATCTTCTGTAGTTCCACTCTGGAGAGTAACAGAGTCGTCTAAAATGACTAAAGTCTATATCTATCTAGAATTCTAGAGTGTACTCCATATTATGTATATAAAGTACATGTAATACGCTTTGTTTTATAGCTATGTCTTTAAGCTACGATATACCTTCGTTGGCAGAAAGCCTGTTGCGCCGATTGCCTCAGCCTATTACGAGACATAAAATGTTCCCTATCCGAAAACTTCAGCTTTATATTCCGGCAGCTTCGCTCTGATTGGATATTACGGGGAAGTTTTGACGTATATTTCTCTTTTATTAACTTTCTTCTTCGTTTTGAATTCGGAATTTTTTTCTTTACTCCTTCAAGTTTGAAAATTGTATTTCAATAAAACACCTTAATGGTTAGATACTGTCTATAGTTTACGCGAGTAGTACACATTTAAATAAAACACTTTAACGGTTTAAAACGCGATATATTAGTTAAACTTATTTGAAAATGATTTTTAACTTCGGCCCACGTTCGCCCACTCCCCCACCACCCCAAACCCAACCGATAATCAATACACGCGCGTTTAAAACGCGATGTGTATTGATTAAACTTATTTAAAGTAATTTCAACTAAGGCACGACGTTTCGGATGCTTTGTCTCCGCCGTGACCACGGCTGCTGCGACGCATCCGAAACGTCGGGCCGTAGTTAAAATAATTCTCAAATAAGTTATACTGATGTATATCGCGTTTTAAACTGTTACTTTATTATCTAATTTTATTAGAAAATTGTATTTAATACTAGTATTAAATCAATTACCTTAGAGTACCTAATACTAGTTTAGGTACTCTTGAGATCTATGATGCAGTACCACCCTATTGAGACTCTCATTCCTATTTTGTGTTTGTTATAGAAATTTTTTAGATAAATTCATAATACCAAAATAACTTTTGCCTGACTCTGTATTGGACCCGGGAATTGATGTCTGATTTAAATGCACCAACCATTAGCCACAAGGCAGTTGTAAGACTTAAATAAAAGGCAAGTGCTAAGTATGATTTTTATTTCGTTCGAAAGTAAGGATTGGCACATACGGATAAGGTACAGTTGGTTACGGGGCAAGGTGGTAGCTTCGAGACCCGCGCGTGTCATATTTTTTCAGTTTTTTATTAACACATGACAGCTATTATATGGAATGAAAGTAGATGCCAATAAAGCACAATAGGAAGAAGTATTTTACTATAATCTTTCTGACAGGCAATTTCAAGATGGTAGCGTTTGTTTATGTTTCAAAATCATCGGGAAAATTGCGGACGGCGACGTCTGAGGGCTCGACATCGCCCACAACGCAGTTTACTTCAAACATTTACATTTATAACGAGGTACATTCATCAGCAAAATAAATATTTTACCTCTAATATAATAAAAGAAACAGACTGGATACAATTTTTCTTATATTTTACTATGTTTTAAAAATAAATTACATATATCGAATTCCCAACAATACGATATTATTTACTTAGAAAGAGTTACTTTAATTTAATAAGATAACACAGTATTATTTTTCGTCTACGAGAGTTCTTCGTTTAAATAAAAAACTTTTAACGGTTTAAAACTAAAACGTAAAATGTATTAATTTTAACATTTCTTCAGTCGTAGTAAAGGAATATCAAATCATAGTTGAAAATATGCTGCGTTATATATTGCGTTTTAAACCGTTAAAGTGTTTGCACCTTTGTTCATATTGTTAAATAAAAAATAATAAATAAGGTTTATTTATTGTAAACATCTATAAGTCCATTGTACGTGGGTTTTGTGCGTAGTTAACGCGAATAGTATTTATTTTAATGAAACACTTTTAACAGTTTTTAATGCGAAGTATCCAAAACGTCGGCCTATAATTATAATAAAATGTAAATAAGTTAAACCATATATTTCGCGTTTTAAACTGTTAAAAGTGCAAGCAAATTTAAATTCACAGCCAAAGTATGTACTACCCATTTGACTTTATAAACAGTCAAAGTGTATCAAATATATCGCGACCACGGCTGCTGCAATGCTGCGAAACGTCGTGCCGTAATTCAAGTAGGTTTAACTTGATATAAATCGAGTTTTAAACCGTTAAAGTGTTTTATTTAAATGTATACTGCTCGCGCAAACTACAGACAGTACATAATATGTAAGCAATACATTTTAAAGATATTTTCGTCGACCGAGAATAGGAAATTACCCCAGAGGGAAAGCCCGGCTTGATTTAGTGTCGGCGAAATTTATATCGACATGCGAAGTATGTACATTCATCAAGGGGACTTGTCTTGATCTCTGACGTTCTTTTGTTTTCGACGTTATTACGCGACCCGCGGAAGAAAGATCGCGTCTATTTGTTTTGTGTGAACATTCTTTTAATTAATATTTCGATAACTCGCGAGCGCCGTTGAGATGTTGACTTGTTGCTAAGATGGCGGATTTAATTGTTGTTCGTTTGTTGTTTAGATGTTTTTGAAATCTGTACGATATAAAAAAACAATGACACGTCCACTGAATCCGTGCTGCTCTAATTTAGTTACCGTGTCAATTGGATAGCTAAACAAAAATATATTTAAAAAAAATGATTGCGATGTACGATTGTATTTAAACAAAATTATTCAAATGTGTTTCATTTAATAAAGCACTTATAAATGCCTATTATTATTATTATTTAATTTATTCAAAATTTTTACATTTTATTTTTAACATAAAGAAGACTTGCAGGGGCCGTGGTCTGTCCACCGTGACAACGGCAAAGCTTCCTAAACGTCGTACTTAAAATAAATTGTAAATAATTTAATTAATATATTTCACATTTAAAACCGCTTTTTTATAATCTTGTCCATAGTGTTTAAACAGCTAAGGACGACGGGGTCTCCCCCTCTCGGGTCCTGGTCAACTTATTTATAATTATATATACTTCATTTATATAGACTTATGCTTAAGTTAATATTATTGTGCTTAAGTTACGTAATATTAATTTACATTATGTCTATTATTAGTACTCTTATTTTCTAAGAGAGCCGACCGATTATTTTACGGCAGTACTTCAAAGAAATAGATTGTAATTTTGTATCGCTAATAAATAGTTTAAGATAAGTGTTTTCCTTAAAAATTCTTCGCTTTCCAAATAGCTGGAGTCCGCTGGCAACATCTTAAAACTGCATTACTGCTAACTGAATTTTCCGACGAACACAGCGAATATATAAGACGAAATGGTTTCTCTACGTACGGTTAATTGTTTCGACGTTGCACATGACTACGCCATTAAATGGTAGTCGGAAAACAAAGGCTCTGTCAGTTCTCTCAAAAGGAAAGGCTCTCTAGATGTTTAGATTTTTAGCCAAATGGAATTAACATTGACCAAAATAAACACTATTGCATCTTTGTTATGTTGGTAAATTTAAATTAAGTTGTTGTAAATTGAGTATGACGGAACTTGAACCCAAGAACGAAACAGTATTTGAGAGAACCGCCATTGCTCAGTATTTTAAATGATTTTTCATATAAATATACATTTTTACTACATATAACAATTAATACTATTTTTAATTGAAGTTAACAAGAGCCCGATGTTTTGGATGCTTTGCAACAACCTTAGTCATGGCTGGACTAAAATATTTCGCGTTTTAAACCGTTTATTAAAAGAGTTAAAAGTGTTTATCTATAAAACATACTTTTTACAGTTTAAGCCGCGAAGTTACAAGAAATATTATATAACAGTCAGTTGACTTACAATAACAGGCAATACTCAAACGTAAATACTTCGAGTTTAACAGTTTTGTTTATTAGGGCTTGGCAAAGTGGAAGATAATTAATGCGCGGCAAACTTTTACAAAACAATAAACAGAAAAATAATGAGAATCAGGCACTTTGGGAATATTTTTTTGATAATATTGTACTATCGAAGCGTGACAAGCACTTCTGTCCAATATCTATACTTCTAGACTAATATATAAAGGTGAAGAGTTTGTTTGTCTGAACGCGCTAATTTCAGAAACTACCTGTTTAAATTGAATAATGTTTTTTGTGTTGGTTAGAGTATTTATTGAGCTTATGTATAA